AGTCGCTGACCTATGACAGGTCGAAGTCAGCTCATGGCTTCAGCGAAGGCAATTTCTAGGGAATCGTTCAATCTGATACAACCACGGAGTGTTTGACGAAGACGTACATTTCTGAGATGCTTTTTTAGGCACCAAAAATATTGAATGAGCAAATTACGTTGACCTAAGATCGGATATGATGGTCAAACCAAGGTCAAAACGAACCTGATTTATTACTCTAGGGCTTGCTGTATGGGATAGCTTCTGGTGCTCATTTCAAATTTATTGCCAGCAGGAACCATATTATACACCTTCAATTGACTTCTTAGAGTTCAGAGCAGGTCGTTGACCTAAGATGACCCGGGTCGAACGTTTTGTTTTGGGAACATACCGCCTAGCGTAATCCTGTCGCTTATTAAAATGCAAAACGCAGAGCAGTCTTGTATCATTTTGGTCACCATGGCCTTCAAAGGGTCAAACATGGTCAATGACCTCAAATGGGCTTGTGAACTTTTCCTTAGAGACAGTTGACTAGGTTCTGGCGGCGTTTTGGAGACCAACCTGGAATTTGACCATGTTTGACCTTATTCGACCTGAAGGTCATGACCTAAGAAGCTGAAACCTTAACCAAAGTGAGTTCATGTATAGGTCAAGACGCCCTGTAAATTTGGTGCCTAGCTTTCTTAGTTCTCGAGGTCTCTGAGGGAGGGGGGTCCAATTGACCCCCTCCCCCTCCCACCTAAGCCAAGGGTATCTAGCCGGCCAACCGAGAGCGTGTTAAAGCATAGTAATTTCATGACAGTATTATGAGCATAACAAACTATTAACACCAATAACTTGATGCTGCACTTTTCAATTCCCTTCCACAGCACTTTTAACACAAAACAAAGCCAAGGAATTCAATAACTAAATAACAACGGAAATTCGGCAAGCGTAAAGCACTCAAAGAAAAAACCTTGGACCCCTACACATCAGCCCATCACCTCAAACACAATACACATACTTCTGGCTTCTGTTAAGTTGGGGTCAGGGAAAACAAACATTTTGGCACTGCTTCTTACAAAATACCAATGCCTAGTTCCATGAAAGTAGCCTTTGTCTAACCTAGAGGCCTTACATCATCTCATCCTGTATAACCTGTTTGTATCACAGCAGCAGTTGTGAGTTACTGATTCTTGCACAATTCCTATCGCCACTTGCCATGCACTTACACCATACAAAGTTGACAACACACAAATCAAACACTTTAAAGCACTTTGAACAACTTATTTTGATTGTCTGGTTAGCCTATATCAAGGGCAATGATGGGTATGCTCCACAAAACAATCTCTCTTCCCCAAAAATAACATAACTTTTAGATGACCATGCCAGTATTGCTGCTTGCTTTTTCAGCTGCAGCAAATGCATCCATTTGGGCTTGTTTATTCATATTTGATGACAAAGTTTGATTTGTTGGCTTCATCATTTAAATGGGGTGGTCTGACTATTTGATACATAGCAATGTTTAACTCATATTATAATTGCTATGTAGCTTAGAGAATCCCTGTGTTAAAAATATAGTGCATATATACAGTACAGTCATTTGCCAGTCAGCAAACCATGACAACTACAGAAAACATTTGGTTAAAGCAGCCATGAGGGGCCACTTCAAGAAATTTGAGGCAAATAACCAAGAATATGGAACAAAATAAGCCCATGGCATGCCTTGTGGTATCATAATTTGTCTTATGGCAAAACTCGATGCGTTAAAGCAGAAAATGGCTAACTCTGGTTACCAATCATGTGTTGAAGGCAGGTAAGGTAAGCAATTACTTGGTCCACAGGAGACTTACCGGCTTCTTCCTGCTCCCTTAAAAACAAAAATTCAGCACCTTTTGCATGGTCTGCTGGCAGACAGAGTCATCCCAGTCACCCTCCAAATATAAATATAAATCATGCCCACCAACCTTCAAGATTAAAGTGCGAAACAAGTACGAAGTGCGCATGACAAGCATCTTCACAAGGCAGAATTTCGCCATCAAACACTTCTGTATTAGCTGCGTCAGGTCTGTCCTAAGGCTCCATATGGCAGCATATTCTAATGCTGCCATACAGAGGCAGAGGCAAGGCTATTTTAAGCCTTGCCTTGCTTGGCGCCCTGAGCCGGGTAAGTCAGACACTCGAAAAGCTTGGATTTATCCTTATTGAGCACCGCCATGAACCAAAAAAAAAAAACGGTTAACCGAAGGTTTAAGAGGGCAAAGATGGCGGTAAAAATAAGTTCCGTGCTTCAAATTGTCTCCTCCATTCCCTGTGAATTGTTCACGCTTGTGTGCATATCAAACATGTTTCGGCGGCTGGCGAATTCATGCAATTTATGTATAAAATACGTACAAGTTTCCAGCTGGAGTATCTTGCAGAGATATTGGTCCAAATTTTAAGCAGCAGATGGTACCTCTAAAGACAATCGAAAAGGAAAGAAGAATAAAGTGGTATGACACCGGTATGATACCAAGAAAACAAAAGGACCCAAATAAATATAAATACTTGGGCTTTTCTTGCAAACTTTGTAATCAGTTGATTTGACTTAAAATCAATTAATATTAGTGCTCAAATCGTGATATTCATCTCGTAAGTTTAATTTATAAGACAGTTCTTGAACTTTTCACTCATGCATTTCGGGAGTGATGCACTTAGTGGTCAAGTTTCCTCGGGAAAAAGAAATACGCGGAGTAAAATTATCTACCAGGCCTTGCTGGTGTTTGCACAAGGCTCTGTTTTCGTGGTGTGGTGGTGAGACCAAAAAAACCGGCGATGCGTGCAAACCTTGCATTTGGCGTACAGCTGCAGATTGTGATGCATTTTGTAAACAAACCAAACTTAATACGTGCAAGCGGCTGGAGTCGCTGGGGTTCTTGGGCTTGGAGCTCCTGGCGTCCTTGCTCTGTGCATACATAGACATGATTCAGATGTAGGTGAGGCAGGACATAGCCATTGGTGTCCAGGTTCTGCGAAGCCTGGTTTATGGTTGGTGGTTTCAAGTGAGCTCGGTTTTGGATGACATCTGAAAACCTCAGAAAGGGAAATAGGGGTTTGGCATGTGCGATTGGACAATGTCAGGCAGGAGTGAAAATTCACATAAAATATGGGAAAAGGAGTGAAAAATTCCTTCTCATAGGATGTTGTTTTACACTCAAAATCGACAATTCTAGGACACTGAACAAAGGCCTTCAGCTCATGGTTTTTGGCGTTATGAGTTAAAAGTCCATCAGCTTCGCAGTTCTCGGCTATACTTCCCAGTTTTTCTTAGAGTTCCGAACAGGAGAATTTTGAGCTCGAAATGCTCAATGTTCTTAATGATCTGCTTATCCCCACAGATTATTCAAAAGCTATAAAGCGGCCACGGTAAATGTCAGAACCCGTCGGCTGCCACGAAAGCGTGCACGCGTAATATACAGTAATTTGCCTGAACGAATGGCTTGTGACAGAAAGTATGAAAACGTGCTAAGCAAAATTCATGTTTGTGTAATAGCAATTTGCTTTCTAAGTTTTTGCATGCAACCTATGGTACAAAGAGATTCAGCGTGCACGTATGCATCGCAAAATGACAACTGGCAATGCAATGCACATAGGGATGGTGAAGCGTTGCCAGTGACAGTACAGCAAGGCCGAGAACTGCTATTGTGAAGTGCTCCTACGAGCAAGTGCGCAATATAAAACCACATGTCCACGACGTAGACCAACAATCTGGACTTGGCTCCCCGCGCACGTCCACATGCATCGCTAATTCGGGACTCAGAGTGAATACAGACCTACCTCATTTAACCACACACTACCACAGAACCTGCCTCATCTAACGAATCGAGAAAGCTGCGTCCAACTTCTCGCCGCTTCACGTGGGTGTCATGCTTGGATATCAGTGCCGCCGATCCAGCCGTTTGCGTTCATTAGAAAGCTTCTTCTAGGTACGCTCCTCGCCAAGATGGGCGTCCTCGGTCAGATACAAGTGACATTCAAACATGTGTCGCCCTCGGTCAGGTGCAGGTAACATCCAAACATGTGCCGTGACGGACTGACACTGTCGCGGACGACAGATCTCTACCAGGCTGCAGGTTCGCCTGCAGTGACTGGGAATGCGTCGCCCGGCGGTCACGACTGTGGCGGTGACGTCGCCATCCGCCCCGCTCCGCGTTCCGACGGTGACCTGATCTCGGGTGACTGTCAGTGCCCGTCCCCCCGTCGCTCAGCTGACCGGCGCCTGAAAGCCACCCATCTGAGACTACCGGTGTGGCGCAGCGTACACACGGGGTGTCCGGTCTTGTCCTGCTGCAGTCCGCCGAAGGCTATGAAGCTGCTCGAGAGCCCAATCAATTTTTTCCTCTCAAAATTTTAACAACCTGCCATCTACGACAGCATCAGACATGTGTCTGCTCTGGTCATGTGTCTTGTGTAGTGGATTTGCACCGCTGCTCCTAGTTTGTTCCATTTGTGTAGCATGTGGCATGACTTGGTCTTACTAGTGAACATTGCACTACCTATCTTGAGAGCTAATCCTAAGCCATAAAACAATAACGCAAGACCCACTTCACGGACCTTGAATTTTATTATATCCAGGCACACACATGTTGGCATCGGTGCATAGATTACCGTAGTCAGGAATATTCATAATTCATGTTAATCCGATTCTTCTTTAATAAATGGCATGTGAGTGAGCTTGCATTACAGATACTGACATTTAAATAGTTGCGGTGGATTTTATTTTCTTTTAAACGCACCATGCGACATCCGGCCATAGCACGAAAATAACAACCACGTCAGCATCTTGAGGTGAGCAATGACATGACATAACAGTCCTAAAAAGGCTTCCATAAACAATAACAGAGATTTCCTCAGCAAAGTATGTATTCCTGTCCCGACAAGTGGCCCCAAACACCAACTTTGGCATCTTTTGGGTAGCGATGCCAGAGATGGCAGCCGCCGTGCTTGACTCGGAGTCCTCGCCAGCTGACGCTCCCTGCTCTGCCCTCGTTCGCTCTGTCAACTCAGTTGGAGGCCAGCATGGTCAGACTGTCCAGGATCCAGCGGACGTGCGGCAGCACGGGCGCGTACGACACCGACGCGTCCGGCCGGTGGCACTCCCTCTGCACTGGTCGCATGCTGGCCGCGCCCATCAGGAAGTAGGCCGAGCCGAACTGGTCGGGGGCCACCAGGGGCGCGCCCAGGTCGGCCACGCACGGCGTGCCCGAGCCTATACAGCGGTTTGGCTCGCCGTCCGCCTCCGACAGCAGCCGGTATCGGCACGGCCCCGGGCCATCGTAGCTGGTGTTGTACACGGCTAGCCTCTCTTCGTCCATCACGTGTGTGGTGGTGCTGCACTGGCGGCCGCACTCGCGACGGGTGGCAGCACCATCGGCCGCCGGCTGCGGCCCGTTGTGCAGGCCCATCATCAGCGCAAACAGGTAATGCGGCTGGGGACGTAGTGGGAACATGGGCAGACAGATGGGCTGCACGCCGTGACCCACCGTCACCGGTTTCGACAGCTGCACCAGCGCCACGTCGAAACGGCTCGGGTCGCTGCCGTGCTTGACGAAGTCTGGGTGCACGGTGGCCGAGTGGACGGCCACGTCCTTAGCCTCGATGCACATGGTCGGTTCGAACCACAGGCAATCCCGCTGGGTGCTAAAGTCGTACTCGCCCACTCTAGCCGTGCTGAGGTTGTAGCCTCGAACACTGAGTGGGCAGCGGGCCGACGTGACCACGTGCTGGTCGCTGATGAGCGCGCCCGAGCACGAGAAGACGACGCGGCCGTCGGGTCCTGTGAAGCCGAGCGCCACCAGCCACGGGTGGTCGCCCACGACGGGGAAGCCGCAGCGAGGTGGCCGCGGTTCATCTGTGGCTCGGAGCCGCCGCCGCAGAAGCGCAGGTCGAGTCGGCCCAGCGCCGGGTGGTCGGCCAGACCCGGCAGCAGCGTCGTCTGCCGCTTCTACAGACTGATGCGCCGCCGGGCCAGGTCGGCCCCCAGCGCCGAGCTCACCGCCAGCAGCAGCACCGTGCACACCTGTACTCCACACATTGCTGGGGTCTGTCGCAAGCTGTGCCGCTCACTCGAGCGTCGCCGCCTATCAGCGGAGCCGTACTTGGTCACGTGAGGCCGACGTTGCGGCCGGATCGCCGGCCAGACGGGCGGTGATTGGCTGGCTGGCTGTCACGGGCGTGTTGCTCGGCTACCAGAGCCGCGGCGTCACGGGCCCCCGACAGAAAACATCCCACTCATAAGTTGGCAGGAGACAACTCACAGCTCATCTCGATTAGTTCTGGTAACTCCAATCGTGACCGGAAGCCAGCGGCGATGGAAACCCGGGCTTGTGCTGCCCACCCGCTGGCTATTTCAGATGCCTGTGAGGCATATATGCGCCCGACATTTTTGTAAATGATACATGAGTTTTAGTGTATGCAAAGGAAAGGCAACTTTCCATTCTTATAAGAGAGAGATAGAGAGAGAGAGAGAGAGAGAGAGAGAGAGATGAGAGAGAGAGAGAGAGAGAGAGGAGAGAGAGAGAGATGGAGAGAGAGAGAGAGAGAGAGAGAGAGAGAGAGAGAGAGATATATATATATATATATATATATATATATATATATATATATATATATATATATATATAATGAAGAAATTTGGTAAAAACTGAAAGCTGATATCTGTATAGGTTAAGGCTATGAGTTCTTACGCTAAAAGGAATCGACCTTCAACAAAGCAGGAGGCACTAGTTCCAACATTAACTCATAGCATATTGAATAGTGGCTACATTGAACACAGGACCGCATAATATTGAACAAGCCAGAAGCTCAAAATTTTCTTACTAATTTCACGCTAATCTGTTACCAGACGGCACCAATGGCACTCGCATTCACGGGTCTCCTCTGAATCATGCCGCATAAATGGTTACGCCTCACTTTTTTGCACTTGTGACGCAGCGCGGCAAATACCCCGTCGAGAGTTCCTGGACTCTGCAACGACTGGGCGCTCCACGGTAAACGTGGTTTACCGGGTAGAGAGAATCTAATAGGATTCTGAGTGAACCGCACCATAAGTGAAATGCCGATGACGACTCATTTTTCAGCACCGAACTTTAATAGATATCAGCACGAAGAAACCTCCAGGGGCTTTTTAAGGGGGGGGGGGGGGCACTCACCTGTATCTTGCACGTGTGCGGCAATGACTGTAACCATTCTTGGTCGTTTGGTACTGCCGTCGTCTAATCTATTGACCATCCATAGCTGCTGATTAAAGACCAAAAACGTGGCATATAGCACCCCATTGTTAGCTTGTGGGACGCACCGGGCAGCTGTTAGCAATGCACGTCACGTAATACCGAGAACGGCATACAAGGGCATTGCGAAGGCACTTGATAAGCAAGAGGCACGGAGTTCGATTCCCCGCGTTGCACGCTATTCTTGCCAGTGTGAGAGACAGGAAGTGTCCTTAGCCTCAACAGCTGAGTGCGTCGTAAAGCCCCAATGACAAAGTGTTTGCTCTGACCTTTCTGCGCCACTGCACGCCGGTGCATGGGTCCAGCAGCGAGGTGCCGGTTCACCATGTGCAAACGGCTATCAACCTGTGCGTGCGTGTTGTAACCGAAAAGAGACGTTGCGACCATGTATCTGGCGTTCGTCGGCACATTGGGGCTCACTGCCCAACAGCTGACAAACACCATAATACAAGGCACAGGGACTCGGACGTAGTGTAGAGCCGGACCCAACACAACGTCTTCGACAGACACTCGGACCGCGAGTCCGCCGGCAGCATGACCCCGACACAGGGCGGCAGTGCGACCTGCTGACGTCCCCGCCACACGCACGGAGGCGGGCGGTCACTGTGCCGCTGCCGCGAGCCTTCGGTGAAACGCAGGAATGTCGGGCCAGGCTTGTCCGCGGTCCGTGCTGGAGTAATACGTGCAGCAATGGTGCAAAAAGCGATGCATTTTTAGATGACTGCTCGTGCATGTGGACGCGTGTGCTTATGAGTACCGTCTTCCATGTTTAGGCCATTTGACATAAATAAGTGAAAAGCCAGCAATGCTGCCTGCGATCACAAGCGAGCGTTTGGCTGACCCAGGTCAAAGGGAAGTACCAAAATGCTGACGCACTCAAAAACCATCATAACGTCCTACGATTTCAAAAAGTCCCATAATTCGAAGCGGTGATTCATTCGTAGTAAATCGACTTAGTTGATTTACCGGAGGAAGGCATGCATGAGACATGTGATTCACGAGCATGGTGACTTAAAAGTAAACAAAGTACAAAATCGTTCATTTATGGCTGCTGACGCGTTAAAATCTTACCTTCCCCTTTCTGCACAACGTTGGAGTTGGGCCTATAGTTCAACTCTGTTGAACTGTAGGTCTTGTCATTCACGATCCATACATTTCATACTGGTTTCCTCAGGTAAACCAACAGCAGCAAACTGATTAGTGCACATCTCCTGCGATCTGAGTAAGTGGATATGTGTATGACTGTTGACGACATCTGAGTAAGTGGATATGTGTATGACTGTTGACAACATCTGAGTAAGTGGATATGTGTATGACTGTTGACAACATCTGAGTAAGTGGATATGTGTATGACTGTTGACAACATCTGAGTAAGTGGATATGTGTATGACTGTTGACAACATCTGAGTAAGTGCATATGTGTATGACTGTTGACAACATCTGAGTAAGTGGATATGTGTATGACTGTTGACAACATCTGAGTAAGTGGATATGTGTATGACTGTTGACAACATCTGAGTAAGTGGATATGTGTATGACTGTTGACAACATCTGAGTAAGTGCATATGTGTATGACTGTTGACAACATCTGAGTAAGTGCATATGTGTATGAGTGTTGGCAAGGAACAATGAAAAACTGAACTTCGTTAACCCACCTGCCACAACCTTTCTGACTCAAACGTTTCATATTTCATTTCCCTCCGGAAATAGCGACAACGCCATGTTGAATAGTGTACTTCACTGAAATTGTGGCTAAGAAGCTTTGTTTTTTCAGCGTGGCAGCATTTCAAAACATGCTTGAGAGGAGGGTACTCGAACCCCAGCAAGTTGCTGTTATTGTAGAGCCTGCCCTAGTCTTACCACTGCAGCATCGATCACTTAGCATCACTGACTAGGAGGCAGCCCGAATTGTGACCCGTTGGGTCACACTGATCGATGAGACATCCTAGTCTGTAACCTGTCAGTCACGATCACTGACCGGGAGGACAGTATCATTTGCAGCCTGTCAGTCACCACCACTGGTCGGAAGGGCAGTATCCTTTGCGACCTGTCAGTCACGATCACTAACCGGGAGGACAGTATCATTTGCAACCTGTCAGTCACCACCACTGGTCGGAAGAGCAGTATCCTTCGTGGCCTTTCAGTCACGATCACTGAACGGGAGGACAGTATCATTTGCAGCCTGTCAGTCACCACCACTGGTCGGAAGGGCAGTATCCTTTGCGACCTGTCAGTCACGATCACTAACCGGGAGGACAGTATCATTTGCAACCTGTCAGTCACCACCATTGGTCGGAAGAGCAGTATCCTTTGTGACCTGCCAGTCACGATCACTGAACGGGAGGACAGTATCATTTGTGACCTTTCGGTCGCCACCACCGATCGGAAAGAGAGCCTCATTCGTGACCTGTCAGTCAACACCACTGACCGGAACGAGAGCCTCATTTGTGAATTGCCGATAACGCTCGCCGTGAAAGCAGCGCCGGCCAGCTGGGCAGCCCGTGTCAGCCTTCAGCATTGGCAGCGTAACGTTCCAAACTCTCCCGGATATGATCGCAGCGCCATAGCTGACAGCGGATGGACTGTGTGGGTGAGGAGGTTCACCGCCCAGGTGAGGCGCCTGGTCACATCCTCGTGGTGCAACTTCCAGGGAGCTCCGGCCGCGTCACACCGGCCCCATCCCTCACGTTCTGACGAGAGTCATGCGGTCAGTGGTTTATCAAAGCACCTGTGGTTCTGAGCCCGGCTGGGCTTGGAATCCATGTCGGACTTATGACCATGCATGTAGGATCTAAAGGCAAAGTCTCACTGTTGGGGAACGTTTTGAATCGAGGCCGCCAGATCTTAGTTCAGAGAGACGCTGACTACCATGGCGATGATTAAGCTCAAAACGCGTCAGTTCTTGAGTCCAAGTGCAATAAAGCCCATCGACTATTCCATAGCGGTCTACGGAACAAGGAGCATCACACAATCATGAATGATAGCGCAAACGACCCTCTCAAAGGCAAAAGCTGTCCATTTGTCTTGGCCAACGTCATTCATGCATCATCTGCCTTCGCGACGCAAGAGTGGATCGAGATTCACTTCAAAAGCGGATCAAGGCTCACTTCAAAACCCGGCATGCCCACTGCGGAGGAACAGATTTGCCCCGGCGGGAGAACTTTGTGAGCGACGTGTCTGTGCCGAACCTAAATGAAGAATGAAATGGGAGTATAGATCAACAAACGACAGAGGAGGGCATCACAAAAGGAAAATCTAATGGACCCCTGGACCCCTCATGAACCCCTAAGGATCCATTAAAGTCGACTCGAAAAATCCTGCACGGTGTGGGAACCGAACATGGAACCGCGCGCTTTATATTGAAAATGCACTGAAACGATTTCTCCCGAAATGGCCATTCATCGAAGGCTAGTGGAGGCCGAATACACCAGCTGATGGCATTTGCCACCTGGCTGTGAGACGAGGGCGGGAGCCGTTGCTGGATATCTGAACCTTATCTGGTTCAGCGCCAGGCGCACTCGCGCCTGAGTGGGGGCATTTAAGTGAATGCAAGATGGCCGCCTTTGCGCCTCGACGCTGCCAGACACCGTGGCAGATAGCCCGCTGCACATGCCAAGGGCAACAGCATGGTGTGCTTCGAGTTTCAGCGGCACTTCTACCAAAAGTGAAGACGATTATACGATCGCAGTTTACCGCGGGCGGTACGCCGGCATGTGAAACTGCCCCTGGCGGCAGCGGTAGCGAGATCACGACGGTGAAAAGAAAAGCATCTGGGTCTGGCACGACGGGCGATTTTTCACACGCCAAAGATGGTTCTGACTTGACTGGGGGATCGCTTCGTAGAGAGCATCATCAGCGGAAAGACGGACAACGTGCAGCCTGCTCTTTCTTCTAATCTGACCCCTCCAGATTTTAGTAATAGTACTCTCGAAATCCCGGGTGAATGGGTGAACCTAGCTTAACAGAAACCACCTGATCGAGGGCCAAAAAAGCCTTTCGATTAGGTGGCGCGCAAAATCGCGCGTGCCGCGTACGCAAAGGAAGTGATACCGGCGTGCAAGGTATGCAGTGCAAAGGCGCGTGGACCTATGTGTTCTACCCAAAATGGGGTTGCTTGGAGCAGCCACTTCATTGATTTCCCTGGGTGATGACATCGAATGAACAACGGATGACACAAGGGACCATGGTTTGTGAAACATTTTTTGGTCTATACATTTGTCGGCATAATAAGTCATTTTTTAAGGCCATGGACAGGTGGAATCAGGTCATATTTTCGTGCCATCCTGCCTGTGTATTCGGCTGATTATCAGCCTGATCGAGTGAAAACGACAGCGATTCATCATGCACGTCTTTAATACGAACAGAAATACAGATAAGCGGATGTCGGCATCAGTGTGTCCACACAAAACTGTGCATAAGTAATACGCCAAGTAAAATACCCCAGGAGACATGCTGGTGGGTGATAAGCGGCCTCTGGCACAATAAATAACAATAACAATATCTTTGGCACGTATAAGGTAGCAATGCTTGAGATAGCAGCCGCCTTGTTTGACTCGGAGTCACCGCCAGCTGACGCTCCCTGCTCTGCCCTCGCTCGCGCTGTCCACTCAGTTGGAGGCCAGCACGGCCAGACTGTCCAGGATCCAGCGGACGTGCGGCTGCACGGGTGCGTACGACACCGACGCGTCCGGCCGGTGGCACTCCCTCTGCACTGGCCGAATGCTGGCCACGCCCATCAAGAAATAGGCCGAGCCGAACTGGTCGGGGGCCACCAGGGGCGCGCCCAGGTCGGCCATGCACGGCGTGCCAGAGCCTATACAGCGGTTTGGCTCGCCGTCCGCCTCCGACAGCAGCCGGTACTGGCACGGCCCCGGGCCATCGTAGCTGGTGTTGTACACAGCTAGCTTCTCTTCATCCATCACGTGTGTGGTGGTGCTCCGCTGGCGGCTACACTCGCAG